TCCCAGGTTCGATTCTGGTCAAGGGCATGTACCGTGGTTGCGGGCACATCCCCAGTGGGGAGTGTGCAGGAGGCAGCTGATTGATGTTTCTCTCTCATCGATGTTTCTGACTCTCTGTCCCTCTCCCTTCCTCTCTGTAAAAAATTAATAAAAATATATTAAAAAAAGAAAGAAAGATGTTTAAGACGAACTCTCCTGTAGAGAAGAAACCTGATGGTTTCAAGGGACAGGAAAAGCTGTTCTTCCTACTTGTGCCCTGACGTCTACAGAACAAAGAGAAAGCCTGCACCCTGGTGAAGAACATGGGGAAGGACGGACTTGCTAGCCCCGAGGGCACCCTATGGCTCCGGTGAGATCGCTGCAGGCGCAGGAGTCTGATGTTTGCTGTGTAGATCATGTCAAGTCCTAAAATACAGCAGCCATTGTCACTGACCTCGGAGACAATGTCACCTCTACTCTAAAACAGCCACATCTGACAATGACAGAGACCATGAATCACATTGAGGTGCCCAAAATCTGTAACGACTCCCAAAATTATACTAATATTCAGGGAGAGAGATAAAGGGAAAGTTAGCTAATTAAAAGGTCAATATAATTTGATGTCTACATTATTGGACTTTCCTGTGCGTATATGCAAGTTGGTTAAATTTTCAAAATAATGCCATTATCACAACCAACTTAAAATCTGATTCTTCTGGAGCACAGCTTACCTATATTTGAGGAAAGGATATGTGTGTCGGAAAAATCCCAAGTTTTTCATTCAACTCAGGTCTGGAGCATTCTCCACGCGTTTGAAATGACACAAAGGGATTAGTATTTCTGAAACGTGTTCTACACTGACTCCTGGTTTGCAGAGAACTCACGGGCAGAACCTGTGAATGTGCTGGTATTGTCAGAAACATCGCCTCTTTAGGAGCCGTAACTGTAACTACCTTCCCATCCCCCTCAGCTCCCAGTCCAGTACTTGCTGCTGCCGCTATCACGACAACGACGGGACAAGTGACTGCGATCTATGGTTTTTAACAAAAGCACAAAAAGCTGCGTATCCACCACCAGAGTA